TAAAAATATTTTAAAAAATATACTTATTTGTTTTTAAACATGTCCTTATTAGTCATTTAATATTAAACAACTACTAATTATTGTATAACCAAACAGTTATATTTATCAAATCCGCTACTTAGCATCCGCTACCCATTTTTCGCTATCCGCCATCCGCTATTTGCTAACCGTCACCCACTACCCACTACCGCTATCCGCTACCCGCTATCCGCTGAATTTTAACCGCTGTACCAAACAGGCCCATAATATATAAAGACCCATAAACTTAATAAGCTAGTCCTTTGAGTTTAAATGAGTGTCTTCACATGTTCGACCCCTTGCTTGAGTGCTTTTTTTAAGGTGTTGAGAGACAAATAGTTCCTCCACCCAATTCGAGCGTTGACATGAGTGTATAATTCAAGTAAATGCATGTGAGAGATTAAGGTGTCGAGATGTAAGGATTCCTCTACCTCAAGATAGTGCACAAACTTGAGAATGGATATGTTCTTACTCTCAAGGAGAGTTGTGTAGATCTCAAGCAAGTGCAAGGATGTTTGTCAACTCAATTATTCATCCTAACAACATAAATAGTGCCCTAAACTCCGAACAATATTAATTATCCACAATTTTTGTTCCGAACTTAAACCCTCTATGAGCCAAGCTTACTATATACTTTCCTTTTAGAGTATGCTTCCAAAGCTAGCTATCCCACTTCCCTTGTTTAAGTTGCATCCTGTGCAGCTCTAAAATTAGTTTGTGCAAAAGAACAATTTCTCAAACAAACATATTCCTCTTCCATTTCAAGTCCAACTCTACCCCTTTCATTCTACACACCCATTTCAAAAATTAAAAAGTCCTTATCCCTCAATAATCAAAACAGCCTAATTAATTTCTCCTTTAAAGGCATGTTCCTCACTTAAGTTTCATACTTTCATGCCAAAATAAAGTGTCATTGACAAGATAAATATAGCAATTTGGTATGTGTATGTCAATGCAATGGCAAGAAAGTCATTCACATTTAAGTCATTGCATCATTTTGTAATTCTGTTGATAGGATTGTCAAAGCCAAGGCTGCATGTTCAGAAGCCTAAGTTTTCAAACAAAACATGCCAAAGACATCTTTTGCTTTGTCTTGGGTGTTGCAAGATTCATCTTTGAAATTAGGTAGAGAAAGCAAACCGCATTCATATTATTCTTTTCCTCTACAAAATGTAAAGTGGAATACGCTCTAAACCGAGGAACAAAATGAGGGTCAGAAGATTCCCTCTAGTGAACAATATTGTGGGGCACATATATACTGCAGATCGCGAGAGTTATACTTTTTGGAACTTTTATTATGTAATTTATTCAAGAGTGCAAAATTAAACCCATTGATGAAGAGGACCTATACTTATATTAAAGGGCTTATCTCAACTA